TATCAATGCAAACATATTTTTTAAAAAAGAGATAATTGTCTGACTCATACATTTTAAGTAGCTTTCTATTTAGCTTTTTAAAAAACATGAAAATTATTTTATATTTTATTCAATCTCCTTAGGGATCAGAATTAGGGAGAGGGACAGTGTGATGTGATGGATGTTGGTGGCTCTTCCAAACTCAAGAGAAAGAATCTAAACCTCACAGACACCTGTGCATGAGGCAGGAATACTGGTACAGTGGCAAGCACATGGTCAGTTTGAGTACTCCGTGGATTAAGAAAGCATGGGCTGTATGTCAAAGTAGCAGCTACTAAAGAGGCTGGATGGAGACCATTCAGGTACGTGAGCCTATTAAGGGCACACCATCTTTTTTTCTTTCCTTTTTTTTAATGGGTAGCTAGACATCTGGATTTTCAAGATATTTTTTTTTTAAATCTGTGACTTAGAGGAAAGCTGGAAAATCCAACTATGTTATGAAGAGTCAATTTACAGTTGCCAATGAGAGATTACACTTAAAATAAGACTAAATCATTAAGCAAAATGAATGAAACTCTAACAATAGTAATGAAGAAATCCATCCATTAGGTGGGAAAAAATAATTCTAAGTAAATGTTTTTTGTGTTGCTGAAAAATTACCATATGAATGGCTTTTTTTTTTTGCCTATGCCTAATGCTGGCATAAATATACTATAAGAACAAGAAATATCCTTATTTTTGACAACTTATTCTAGACAGTGATTTTGCATATGCATGCCATTATTATCCAGTTTGGGGCAATGAGATCTTTGTAGCACAACAGATACAAGCTAAATAATTCCAAAGAAGCTATTTCTTTTGACAATTAAAAGTATGCTATAACTAACTATATGTGATTCCTCTAGTCTATGTAGTAGTCATTCTAGTTTTAATAATTTCATTTTATGCTATTTCCACTGCAGACTGGGATGGAAACAATTTGACAAGAGAACGTCATGGCATTCTATCTTGTCATAAAATGGAAATTACATCTTTTCATATCAAGTAACATATGTAAATATACTTTGACAATAGAACTCAAACATCAAAACAGATTCCCTTGGGTCTTGGGATGGGTTGGGAGGTAAAGAGGGTAAGACTGAAAACTTGTGCCTCACAATCTTTTAACTAAGTGACAATCGCACTCTTGTTCCCTTGCTTTTTACAAATTTTAAAGGCTAGGATCATTAATCCTGTTTTATCTCCTGTTTTCATAGAAACTTGAATTCTATGAAAAAATGCTTATTTTTAAATCCCAAGGGAGGGCAGGGGGCCAAATTTGGTAATGCACAAAACGCCTTAAAAGAGAATCTTATGCTTTCTCTGCTCTAGCTATTCTTGAGATAGTTACTCTCTTACATTAATTATACCTTGCATCTTTTACTTTCTTTGAAATTGCGTGATGTGACAAATTCAGAGCATCACCTGGACAATTCAAACAAAATAAAACATATAGTAATCTCATATACATATATGCATGTATTTATGAATTGCATTTCATAAATTCAAATTGTGAGATATTTCTGTGGCTCTAGGGCATACCTGAAGTACCCATAATGAATAGCATGAAATCATCATGGGAATGTCATACCTGTTTTAAAAGGGTGTAGTTGGAACCATCGGTGCTAATTTTTCTTATCTCGTGATGATCAGCAAGAATTAAAAAAGGTTCTTCATCTAAATACCAAGCAAAAAACATATTAGACTTTTTGGATGCATGGTTTTCAACTCTTCTTAGTTTCTGAAGCAATATAAAGTCAAATGCAGTGCCCTTCAGTAGATTAATGGTTAAAAAATTCACACTGAGACCTCAGTTGATTATAAGGTGAAACGGCAGTAGAAACCCAGATAGTACAATCAAGAT